TTATTTATTTTCCCCCAATTTTTTTTCTTTAATTTTTATTGTTGGTTGTTCAAAACATTATATAATTCTTGACATATCATATTTCACACTTTGATTCAAGTGGGTTATGAACTCCCATTTTTACCCCATATACAGATTGCAGAATCACATCGGTTACACATCCACTGTTTTACATATTGCTATACTAGTGTCTGTTGTATTCTGCTGCCTTTCCTATCCTCTACTATCCCCCATCCCCTCCCATCCCATCTTCTCTCTCTACCCCATCTACTGTAATTCATTTCTCCCCCTTGTTTTTTTTTCCCCTTTCCCCTCACTTCCTTTTGTATGTAATTTTGTATAACCATGAGGGTCTCCTTCCATTTCCATGCAATTTCCCTTCTCTTTCCTTTTCCCTCCCACCTCTCACCCCTGTTTAATGTTAATCTTCTTCTCATGCTCTTCCTCCCAACTCTGTTCTTACTTACTCTCCTTATATCAAAGAAAACATTTGGCATTTGTTTTTTAGGGATTGGCTAGATTCACTTAGTATAATCTGTTCTAATGCCATCCATTTCCCTGCAAATTCTATGATTTGGTCATTTTTTAATGCAGAGTAATACTCCATTGTGTATAAATGCCACATTTTTTTTTTTTATCCATTCGTCTATTGAAGGGCATCTAGGTTGGTTCCACAGTCTTGCTATTGTGAATTGTGCTGCTATGAACATCGATGTAGTAGTGTCCCTGTAGCATGCTCTTTTTAGGTCTTTAGGGAATAGACCGAGAAGGGGAATAGCTGGGTCAAATGGTGGCTCCATTCCCAGCTTTCCAAGAAATCTCCATATTGCTTTCCAAATTGGCTGCACCAATTTGCAGTCCCACCAGCAATGTACAAGTGTACCCTTTTCCCCACATCCTGGCCAGCACTTGTTGTTGTTTGACTTCCTAATGGCTGCCAATCTTACTGGAGTGAGATGGTATCTTAGGGTGGTTTTGATTTGCATTTCTCTGACTGCTAGAGATGGTGAGCATTTTTTCATGTACTTGTTGATTGACTGTATGTCCTCCTTTGAGAAGTGTCTGTTCAGGTCCTTGGCCCATTTGTTGATTGGGTTATTTGTTTTCTTATTGTTTAATTTTTTGAGTTCTTTGTATACTCTGGATATTAGGGCTCTATCTGAAGTGTGAGGAGTAAAGATTTGTTCCCAGGATGTAGGCTCCCTATTTACCTCTCTTATTGTTTCTTTTGCTGAGAAAAATCTTTTTAGTTTGAGTAAGTCCCATTTGTTGATTCTAGTTATTAACTCTTGTGCTATGGGTGTCCTATTGAGGAATTTGGAGCCCGACCCCACAGTATGTAGATCGTAACCAACTTTTTCTTGTATCAGACGCCATGTCTCTGATTTGATATCAAGCTCCTTGATCCATTTTGAGTTAACTTTTGTGCATGGCGAGAGAAAGGGATTCAGTTTCATTTTGTTGCATATGGATTTCCAGTTTTCCCAGCACCATTTGTTGAAGATGCTATCCTTCCTCCATTTCATGCTTTTAGCCCCTTTATCAAATATAAGATAGTTGTAGTTTTGTGGATTGGTTTCTGTGTCCTCTGTTCTGTACCATTGGTCCACCTGCCTGTTTTGGTACGAGTACCATGCTGTTTTTGTTACTATTGCTCTGTAGTATAGTTTAAGGTCTGGTATCGCTATACCGCCTGATTCACACTTCCTGCTTAGAGTTGTTTTTGCTATTCTGGGTCTTTTATATTTCCATATGAATTTCATAATTGCTTTATCTATTTCTACAAGAAATGCTGTTGGGATTTTGATTGGCATTGCATTAAACCTATAGAGAACTTTTGGTAATATCGCCATTTTGATGATGTTAGTTCTGCCTATCCATGAACAGGGTATATTTTTCCATCTTCCAAGATCTTCTTCTATTTCTCTCTTTAGGGTTCTATAGTTTTCATTGTATAAGTCTTTCAACTCTTGTTAGGTTGATTCCCAAGTATTTTATTTTTTTTGAGGATATTGTGAATGGAGTGGTTGTCCTCATTTCCATTTCAGAGGATTTGTCGCTGATATACAGGAATGCCTTTGATTTATGCGTGTTGATTTATATCCTGCCACTTTGCTGAATTCATTTATTAGCTCTAATAGTTTCTTTGTAGACCCTTCTGGGTCTGCTAGGTATAGAATCATGTCAACTGCAAATAGTGATAATTTAATTTCTTCTTTTCCTATTTTTATGCCTTTAATTTCTTTCGTCTAATTGCTCTGGCCAGTGTTTCGAGAACTATGTTGAACAGAAGTGGTGAGAGAGGGCATCCCTATCTTGTTCCAGATTTTAGAGGGAATGCCTTCAATTTTTCTCCATTCAGAATGATGCTAGCCTGAGGCTTAGCATAAATTGCTTTTACAATATTGAGGTATGTTCCTGTTATCCCTAGTTTTTCTAGAGTTTTGAACATAAAGGGGTGCTGTACTTTGTCGAATGCTTTTTCCGCATCTATCAAGATGATCATATGGTTCTTATTTTTAAGTCTATTGATGTGGTGAATAACATTTATTGATTTCCATATATTGAACCAGCCTTGCATCCCAGGGATGAATCCTACTTGATCATGGCGCACAATTTTTTTGATATGTTTTGGTATCCGATTCGCCAGAATTTTATTGAGGATTTTTGCATCTAGGTTCATTAGAGATATTGGTCTGTAGTTTTCTTTCTTTGAAGTGTCTTTGTCTGGTTTAGGAATCAGGGTGATGTTGGCCTCGTAGAATGAATTTGGAAGTTCTCCCTCTTTTTCTATTATCTGAAATAGCTTGAAAAGTATTGGTATTAGTTACTCTTTAATGGTTTTGTAAAACTCTGCTGTATACCCATCCGGTCCTGGGCTTTTCTTAGTTGGTAGTCTTTTGATGGTTTCTTCTATTTCCTCAATTGATATTGGTCTGTTTAGGTTGTCTATATCCTCCTGACTCAATCTGGGCAGATCATATGACTTAAGAAATTTATCGATGGCTTCACTATCTTCTATTTTATTGGAGTATAAGGATTCAAAATAATTTTTGATTATCTTCTGTATTTCTGAAGTGTCTGTTGTGATATTGCCTTTTTCATCCAGTATGCTAGTAATTTGAGTTCTCTCTCTTCTTCTCTTCGTTAGCATGGCTAAGGGTCTGTCGATTTTGTTTATTTTTTCAAAGAACCAACTTTTAGTTTTGTCAATTTTTTCAATTGTTTCTTTTGTTTCGATTTCATTAATTTCAGCTCTGATTTTCATTATTTCTTGCTTTCTACTTCTTTTGCTGTTGTTTTGCTCTTCTTTTTCTAGGATTTTGAGATGAAGTATGAGATCATTTGTTGGTTTTTTCTTTTTTTAAGGAATGAACTCCAAGCAATGAATTTTCCTCTTAGAACTGCTTTCAATGTGTCCCATAGATTCCGATATGTTGTGTCTGTGTTTTCATGTACCTCTAAGAATTTTTTAATTTCCTTCTTGATGTCTTCTATAACCCATTGATCATTCAGTAACCTATTGTTCATTCTCCAAGTGATGCATGATTTTTCCTTCCTTCTTTTATCATTCATTTTCAGTTTCATTCCCTTATGATCAGATAAGATGCATGGTATTATCTCTACTCCTTTATATTGTCTAAGAGTTGCCCTGTGACATAATATATGATCTATTTTTGAGAAGGATCCATGTGCTGCTGAGAAAAAAGTGTAACTGCTTGATGTTGGGTGGTATATTCTATATATGTCAATTAAGTCTAGGTTATTAATTGTGTTATTGAGTTCTATAGTTTCCTTATTCAACTTTTGTTTGGAAGATCTGTCCAGTGGCGAGAGAGGTGTGTTGAAGTCTCCCCTGATTATTGTATGGTGGTCTATTAGACTCTTGAACTTGAGAAGAGTTTGTTTGATGAACATAGCTGCACCATTGTTTGGGGCATATATATTTATGACTGTTATGTCTTGTTGGTGTATGGTTCCCTTGAGCAGTATGTAGTCTCCTCTTTATCCCTTTTGATTAACTTTGGCTTGAAATCTATTTTATTTGATATGAGTATGGACACTCCTGCTTGTTTCCGAAGTCTATATGAGTGATATGATTTTTCCCAACCTTTCACCTTCAGCCTATGTATGTCTTTTCCTATCAAATGTGTCTCCTTTAGGCAGCATATTGTTGGGTCTTGTTTTGTGATCCATTCTACTAGCCTTTGTCTCTTATTGGTGAGTTTAAAACATTAACATTTAGGGTTATTATTGAGATATGGATTGTTCTTCCAGCCATATTTGTTTATTTCTTTTACTAAACATGGTTTGTTTTCCTCTTTGATTATTTTCCCCCCTTTATTGTACTACCTCCCACTGTTGGTTTTCATTGTTATTTTCCATTTCCGCTTCCTGTAATGTTTTGCTGAAGATTTTTTGGAAAGATGGTTTTCTAGCTGCAAATTCTTTTAACTTTGTTTATCGTGGAAGGTTTTAATTTCATCTTCCATCCTGAAGCTTAATTTCACTGGATACACAATTCTTGGTTGGAATCCATTTTCTTTCAGTGTTTGAAATATGTTATTCCAGGATCTTCTAGCTTTCAGAGTCTGTGTTGAAAGATCAGCTGTTATCCTGATTGGTTTACCCCTAAATGTAATCTGCTTCCTTTCTCTTGTAGCTTTTAAAATTCTCTCCTTATTCTATATGTTGGGCATCTTCATTATAATGTGTCTGGGTGTGGATCTCTTAGGATTTTGCACATTCGGCGTCCTGTAGGCTTCTCGGATTTGGGATTCTGTCTCATTCTTCAAGTCTGGGAAGTTTTCTCGTATTATTTCATTGAATAAATTGCTCATTCCTTTGGTATGGACCTCTATACCTTCCTGTATCCCAGTGACTTGTTTAAGTTTGGTCTCTTTATGTTATCCCATATTTCTTGGATGTTCTGCTCATGGTTTCTTAACAGTCTTTCTGAACTGTCTATGTTCTTTTCAAGTTGAAATACTTTGTCTTGGCTGTTCCTCTGTCAGACTGCTGGCGATTTAGTGTCTCTGCTTGTTATGGCCGCTGCTGTCGCTATGGAGACAGATGATGCTGGAAATCGACTTCGGTTTCAGTTGGAGTTGGAATTTGTACAGTGTTTAGCCAACCCAAATTACCTTAATTTTCTTGCCCAAAGAGGTTACTTCAAAGACAAAGCTTTTGTTAATTATCTTAAGTACTTGCTTTACTGGAAAGAACCAGAATATGCCAAGTATCTAAAGTACCCTCAGTGTTTACATATGTTAGAACTGCTCCAATATGAACACTTTCGAAAGGAGCTGGTGAATGCTCAGTGTGCGAAATTCATTGACGAACAGCAGATTCTACACTGGCAACACTATTCTCGGAAGCGGATGCGCCTTCAACAAGCCCTGGCAGAACAGCAACAGCAAAATAACACGTCAGGAAAATGAAAAGCTGGAAACAGATCAGGCTCTTAAAACTATATATAATGTATTTCCATTATACAGTGAAGACAAAACAAGAGACTTCCTGCCTACCTTTATCGTGGTAGCACCTGGATACTTTAGTGTGCTTTTAAATCCAGCTAACTTTTTATTGTTAATACATTATTTCTGTTAAGCCAAACTTGTTCTACTTTGATTTCCGGATGGATTTGTAAATTTTTATTAACATTTAACAGAATCAAGAAAGAATGGAAACGTTAGGTGCAGGGGATTGGGCTATCAAATGTAATTAACTCTAAGCCTATTTCATGACTTACAATAGTCCCTGGGGCAAGTCCTCTCTTGAATCTTTTTATCTCTTGGATCACCTTTTCCACCCCTCTTATCTACTGAAAGAAAGGACTAGAGTGGAGGACCTCTTGTTAAATCACAAAGCAAAAATCCCATAAAGGTTTTTACATTCTATAGGAAAGGAAATACTTTGCCAGATTTTTTTAGTTGTAGTTGGACACAATACCTTTATTTCATTCATTTACTTTTATGTGGTGCTGAGGATCAAACCCAGGGCCCCATGCGCCCCATGCCCCACGCATGCTAGGTGAATGCTCTACCTAGGTGAAGGCTCTACCGCTGAGCCACAATCCCAGCAGCCAGATAGCAACTTTAAGAAAGAATTGTTAGTATGTCACTGACCTAGTGAAAGGTATGGAGAAGATTGGTGTTTGGACTCTTGACCTCAAGTTTGAACAAAGATGAGCCTCAAATGCTTGTGTTCATTTGGGAAAGTTAATATTTGGCCAGTACTACAAACCACATGCACCTTAAATGCTGCCTTGCATTCTCATTGATCCTTATTTGTAAAGGAGGAAAAAAGCTATTAAGCACTAAAATCAGTGTGTCTGACTCACATTCTAGAGTTCTTATAACTATGTTATCTGGTCTCCAGTCTTCCTCAACTGAAGCACATTCACACAGCTATAAAACAGAACTGCCTGAATTAAGCAGCTGGATTAGATTCATGCTGTACTTTCTCTAAGTGGTTAAATTCTACATTCCAAAAGCAAAGAAGTGGTTTTAAAAATATCTATTGTTCTGCAAATTCATGGAATTTAAGATCCTAATCCCTTCAGAGATTTGGAAGTTGTCTATTTTTTTAACCTCCAATAATATATTCCTTTGAACTATGACTGCCACTGCTGAACTTATTTTACTCAAATCTTTAAGATGGCTATATGTTACAAGAAAATTGAAGGTTCATGAGTATTTTTAAAAAGCATTCTTTATTGTTTAGACATAAGCTAATTTTCGTATCATTTATTTACTGCTAAAATGAATGCAAATTTTCATATCATTTATTTACTGCTAAAATAAAGTCATTATTTATAAAAAAAAAAAAGCAATACTTTGTCTTCATTGTCTGATGTTCTATCTTCTAAGTGTTCTACTCTGCTGGTAGTATTCTCAATTGAGTTTTTAAGTTGGTTTATTGCTTCCTGCATTTCTAGGATTTCTGTTTGTTTTTTATAACCTCTATCTCCCTGTATAGTTGATCTTTTGCTTCTTGGATTTGTTTATGTAATTCATTGTCGAAGTGATCTTTCATTATCTGATTTTGCTGTCTAATGTCTTCCTTGAGACTCCAGATCATCTGAAGCATGTATATCCTGAATTCTTTATCTGACATTCCATCTGCTGCAGATATTATCTCTTCTAACGTTGAGTTGACCTGCATTGCTTGTGGTCCTTTCTTTCCTTGTCTTTTCATACTGTTCGCATTTCTTTCTGCTTGGTGAAACTGTTGTGTTATTGAATTTTCCCCCTATATATTTATATTGCTCTTGTATAGTTGTAAAGTCTCCCTCGCAGGTGTGGGCAGCAGCTCTGCCCCTCCTCCAATTGGGGCAATGTGCCTACCACGCTGGCAGGACACTGGGCATGTTCTGCCGGTCGGTAGCAGGTCCGCCTACCTTGCAGGCGCCTGTGGAGGCTCTGCCCCTCTGCGAGCTGCTTGGCCTGTTCTGTCGGTGGGTCGCAGTTCCGCCTACCTTGCAGGCGTGGGGGGCGGCTCTGCCCCTCCGCAGGCCGCTGGGCTTGTTCAGCCAGTGGGTCGCAGGTCCGCCTACCTTGCAGGAGCGGGGGGCGGTTCTGCCCCTCCACGGGTTTCAAGAGGTATAATTTAATTGGCTTAATCCACTGATATGTATTAATTGGATGATAACTCTAGGCACATACGGTGTGGCTGAAGGAAGTAGGTCACTAAAGGCATGTCTTTGGTTTATATATTTTATCTCTGATGAGTGGAGCTCTGCTTCCTGGTGGTCATGTCCTGGGATGAGTTTTTCTACCAAGCCTTTTTGCCATCTGTTCTGCTTCACCTTTGGTCCGGAACAATGGGGTCAGCTGTCTATGGACTAAAACCTCTGAAATTGTGAGCCAAATAAACTTTTCTCCCTTTAATCATTCTTGTTAGGTCTTTTGGCCACAGTGATGAAAAAGCTGACTAAAACACCAACACAATGACATGTCACTGCTACTACTGAGGTTTATTTACTAGGGTTAGAAATTAATCAAGTAGCTCTAAATTTGGGTGACTCTAATGTTTATTAATAGCTTCAGTGATCACCTATAGCAACTCCATCCCAGAAGTATTTATGGTGCAAGGCACATCCAAGTCCCAAGTTGTATCATTTAGGTTTAAATACCTTGTTTTAACCTTTCCAAATAAGCTTTCTTCTCTTTAGGCTGATGGTAAATGTTGGGAGAAGGTAAATTTCCTTAATCAATTTCTTTTTGAGTTAAAGTGAATGCTCATTGTAAGAAAACATAAATTACAGAAATATAAAGCATTAAGCTTCTCTGTGTTTTTCTCCTTTTTTGTCCCCCATTTCCAAATCCAATATCAATATAGCAGTTTTATATGTAGCTCTTACAGTTCTCATTCATACACAAACTTTTTTATAAGCTCCAAGTTTATACCATAAAAACAGGCAGATATAGGAGAAAGACAAAACCATAACTTAAACATTATTCATAATTTTTGAATCAACAATATAGTATGGCCATAACTTTAGCTCAGATTAGCTAACCTAGTGATATCTGTTGCTGTATTACAGTACTAGGAATAATGAATACTGTTAGTAATTTGTACTTAATATCAAAACTAGAATTATTCTGTAATTTGTCCATACTTAATTAATTCCATGTAGAACTGAGTAATTACTCAAAGTCGCAGGTTTGATGAAGAGAAAAACAAAAGCATGAAGATGGTTTAATGTTACAGTGTTTTTTCAAGTATTTGATGATATATCTGAAATACTGTAATTTTGAAAATAATGCAAAATAAAATGAAAAGGGCAAAAAAAAGGACACAAAATAGTGATGTCTTTCAAATTCTAGGTTTGTGGGCTTTTATAATTATACAAAGCATAATTTCCTATGTAATTATTTCAACAAAAAAGTACTAAGTGATTATAGGATAAAATTTGTAACCAAGTGATTATTTCCAAAAAAGTAAAATTAAGTACTAAGTCATAGTAGAACATTAGCAAAGCTAAATTTCTGTGAACCTCACTTTAAAAAAAGATTAAATAGATGTAGATGGACATCATGCCTTTATTTGTTTAGTTTTTTTTTTTTTTAATGCGGTGCCAAGGATCAAACCTGGTGCCTCACACATGCTAGGTTAGCACTCTGCCACTGAGCTACAGTCCCAGCCCTGACCTTGCTTCTTTATAAATACCTTGGCTTTGCCAACAATTAATTTGAAATACTATTTTCCATAAATCTATCTGAAAATCCAAAACAACTATATAAGGAAAAGTATCTGAATAGTTACAAATAAAAGTCTTGATTTTTCTCTTTTTGAAGGTTATACATTTTAATATGATCTTTTGGTTGATTTATGTAAAGCTTTGTATTTTTCATTTTCTCATGCCCATCATTGCAGTGATATATGATACATCTTAATATCGAGTTTGCCATAAGCAATAAAATCAGGGTCCCAAAGAAATTTTAATATATTTCCCCATTTTTAACTCAGAGCTTTGCATTATTCAACTATTTTGCTTGGGATCCATGTTTAGTTGATATTTTAATACACACATAAATAATTCAAGATTTTAACTTAAAGGTAAAATTTAAATAAATTATTTAAAAGTTTAATAGTAGTCATCACATACAAAGTGAAAATCTGAATGATAACTTAAAATATACACAAAACAATCTCTCTAAATGTTGTATTTTATATTCTAGTTTGCTTAGAGCAGTTTTCTATAATAAAAAATAAAGTTATTCATAAAATGATATTCAACATAAAATGGAAAACGTATCTCTACGAGTCTGTATGAAGGAAAAAACGAAGTATAAATAATTAGTTCAATTGCAAACTTCTTATTGAACTTGTTTTTTCCCAATTTTAGGGATTGAACTCAGTACATCGTGCATATGCTAGGCAAGCACTCTACCAACTGAGTCACATACCTAGCCCCTCATATTGAACTTTTACCTAACACTTAAAAGCTAATAGCTGAACCAGAGGGTGAGACAATGAAAAAGATCAGTCCTCAAGAAATTTGCAACCTAGTAAAATTACTTAAGTCCTTGGTAACATAAAGCTAAATAAAGTTATTTGTCACAAAAAATGGGAAGAAACAAAGTTTTAGGGTAGTTTATCTTGTTGAATAAATGCATGACACAGTATTTGAGTTCAAGGTTGTGTCATGGATAAGATGTAATCAGTTAAAGGGAAGAAGAAAAGAAAGCAGATAAGACAAAATAAGCAAATGTAAGGGAGAAGAAAAGCAGAAGGGAGGATCTAAATGTTTCAGTATTATTAGAACAAAGGATACATATAAGAGAGGCCTAAGACAAAGAGTGAAAAAGTTGCTATGGACATATGCCAAATGGCCTTTGATTCATGGCCAATCGTCTTAGAACTTTAGAAAGGAATGTAACACTATTGTGGAATTTTGTGCAAGGAAATGAACACTAGAAAGGAAAATCAATATGGTGGTAGAACTGACTATGAAACGTATGGAAGCAAAGAATGGACTCAAACTAGAAGAGTTTGGGCAAGGTACAACTTTAATTGAAGAGATGGCCATGGGATGTAATGAGGTAAGAGATATATTAGAACTACAATATAAAGGATGAGATAATCAATTGAATGTTCATGGTGACAGAGATATAGTTTACAGAACGATGACAAAATTCTGTGCCTGAACCACTAGGGGTGAATCAGTTGTGATAAATAACAAAATGAGAAAAATACATGTGGAGTGGGAAATAAGTTCAAATTTTATATATAATGACAAATAGTCCTAAGGCCATATTTAACATGTCCAATTATAATAACGGATATAAAAGATATCTAAACAGAACTCTGATGAACTCAATAAAATTTTAATATATAACTATATAAGATTAACAAAATCAAAGTTCTGAGAACTAAGTATGTGAGGAGACTCAATATTACCAAAATGTCAGTTCTTCCCAAACTTATCTATAGATTCAACACAATTCCCATAAAAATTCCAACAAGGTATTTTGTGGATAAGAAACAAAAGACAGAGCTGGGGTTGTGGCTCAGTGGTAGAGCACTCACCTAGCACAGGTAAGGCTCTGGGTTCGATCCTCAGCACCAAATAAATAAATAAATAAATGTTAAATTAAAAAAAAAAAGGACACAGTATAGTTGATATAATATTGAAGAAGAACTAAGTAAGTCTGAAGTAATAACTGATATTATCTGACCAGACTCACTATGTTTTAGTAATCCAAAAAGTGTAGTATTGGCAGAGGAATATATGGGTCAATGGAACAAAGTACAGAGTCCAGAAATAGTTCACACAAATAACTAAAATAACAAGGCAATACAAAGAAGAAAAATGGTGCTAGAACAAATGGATATCTACTTTTAAAAAATAAATCTATACACTGATCTTATATCCTTTATAAAATCAATTCAAAATGTATTAAAGACACAAATGTAAAACACAAAGCTATCAAACTCTCAAAAGATAACATAGAATAAAATCTAGATAGACTTGGGTTTGGGTGGAATTTTTTGGATATAACATTAAAGGTACAATAAAAATAGGAAAGAGTTGATAAGCTCGGCTTTATTAAAATTAAAAAACTTCTGGTCTGTGAAAAACATTAATTACTATGAGAAGCAGATGTCAAACTACAGAATGGGAGAAAATATGTGCAAATGAAATATCCAAAAAAACTCTGCTATCCAAAATATACAAAGAACTCTTAATACTCAATATTAATATTAATAATCCAATTAAAATGGGCAAAAGAGGGGCTGGGTTTATGGCTCAGTGGTAAAGTGCTTACCTAGGATGGGTGAGGCGCTGGGACCATGGTCAGCACCACATAAAAACAAACACCACCAAAAAGTAAATAAAATACAGGTTAAATTCTAAAAAAGAAAAAAAAAAATGGGCAAAAGATCTAAAGAAAAATTTCACCAGAGAAGATATACAGATGGCAGATAAGCATATGAAAAGATGCTCAATGTCTTAAATCATTAGAGAACTTCAAACTTAAACAACAATGAGATAATGCTACAAACCTAATATAATAGCCAAAACAACATCTAATGCTGGTAAGAATGGAAGAAAAGAAACTCATTTATTACTGGTGGGAATGCAAAATAGTACAGCTATAATGGAAGACAGTTTGTCAGTTTCTTACAAAGCTAAACATCCTTTCATTATACTTTTATAAATACAATAATCATACTCATTGGTATTTACACAAATGAATTGAAAACTTACGTTTACACAAAAACATGCACATGGATGTTTATAGTAGTTATATTCATAATTGCCAAAAGGTGGAAGCAACTAAGTTGTCCTTCAGGAGGTGAAAGGATATAATAAACTTTGTTATGTTCAGACAATGGAATATTATTAGGTAAGTATAAGAAATAAGCTAACAAGACTTTAAAAAAATGAGGGAACCTAAATGCAAATTAATAAGAGAAAGAAGCTAATCGCAAATTAATAAGAGAAAGAAGCTAATCGGGAAAGGATACCTACTGTATGATTTTATATGACATCCTGGAAAAAACAAAGGTATGGAGACAATAAAATGAGTGGTTGCCAGAGATTAAAGAAGACCAATGAAGAAATGAATAGGTGGAACATAGATCTTAAGGTGGCAAAACTATTCTGTATGATATTGTAATAGTGGATACATGTCATTTGACATTATCAAAACATATAGAATGTAAAAATTAACAGTGAGCCTTAATGTAAACTATGGGCTTTTTATGATAATATTTAATCAAAATAGGTTCAGCAGTTGTAAAAAATGTATGACTCTGGCACAGAAAGTTAATGGTGGAATAGGCCATGCTTCTGTGGAAGCAGGGAGTATATATGGGAACTCCGTACATCTCAATTTTGCTGTGAACTGAAAGATGTCCCACATTCTATTTTTTTTAAAGAGGGTGTAAATAAACATGATTATAAAATAATCAATAAAAGTAATGGTATTATTCCTATTTGTCCAGTAACGCTGATACTTTTGAAACATAAGTACATTCAAAACAAAAATTAGAGATCATTTTGGTGATATGCAGTAAAATAAACTCAACTGGCTAAATAAAGTGATTGTCTTTTCATATGCTTCTGTATCATGACATAGATTGCAAGGATGGGAAGAATAAAGAGGAAAGTAGTGCAATGAAAGAAATAATTACACACATAGGTGTTACAGGTAAAATTAAAGGGGAACAAAAGAGACATATGTCACACAGAAGTCACGGAAAGGTTGTGTTAACCAAAGAAAAAGTCAATATAGAGAAGTTGGTAATGTTAATGAATAAGCTGTTGATATTTTTTCAATTAATCAATGATTCTATTAATTTCTTCTTAAAAAAAGCATTTAAAAAATAAAAAAATAAAGTAATGGGAAAAACTGGCCATGGTAATTGACAAAATGCTGTTAACTTTTCTGTACAAAAATGACTGCTTAGTCAATGATGTTTTTGAAAATGCTTTTTCAAAAATTATGTATATACGTAGATGTTTTATAGTTGTCAGGCTCTGGAGATACCTGGAAAAGAGAGAGAGAGAGATAATAATAATAAGAAAATGAAGGTAAATGCATCATTTTTATTCAATGTCAGTAGATATCTCACCTTAAAGATCTAACATTGTAATGTGCAATAGGGAAATGGACTGTAAAGACAAATACAATACCAAACAGCAAAGTGAATAGTGAGCTGTTTAGGTAGAGCTGAACATATAATGGTAGTAGTATCTAAACAAGAATTTAATGGTTTTGAATTTGTGTGTGTGTACATGCAGCAAAAGCAGAAGGACCTAAAAGTAAGGGGTTCCTTTTAGTAAGTCTGAGAAATGTTTGGATAGTATTACTTCAATCAGTTTTTTGATAAAAGGCAATTCCAGCCCAATTGACTGACCTATTTTTCAATCCTGTTCATCATCATCTTTCTGGAGACCTGGTATCAGTAACTATTTTCTATTATGGAAACTCTCATTCAAAGAGTTATTCCTAATTTTTGCTGAATCCTTGTTAATTCTCTTGATCCTTCAGATTCCCTATCCTAAACATGTAAGTAGGAGTGTGTCTCAAGATTTGGGGAAAAAACACAGACACACAGAATACTTTTTCTAATCTTTTTTTTTTTTTTTTTTTTCCTGTCATTAGTCTCATTTCCTTACACAATTTCAGCTAGTATTTCTATGAAGACAGAAATATATAAAGCAATATTTCAAGGATCAGACCTTACAATCAAAGGATCTAATCCAGATTTTTATGATTCCACTCAACATATTTTTTGAAATTTTTTTTAACTTATTTTTTATGTGGTGCTGAGGATCAAACCTAGTACCTCACATGTGTAAAGCAATAGCTCTACTACTGAGCTATAACCTCAGCCCCCACTCAACATCATTAAATTGACATTTTGTTGTATTTAAAAAAGAGCTCTACTGCACTTTTGCCTCACTTTCCATCTTTCCCTTGTACTTCTCTTCCCCTGAATATTTTCAGAAAAGCTGTATTTCTCCTCTCTTCTTATTTGTATGAAGAAAACCAATTCATCATCAAATCTTCCCTGTAATATTTATGCACAATAACCTAATTCTTATCTTGCTACATGATTTAATACTTGGTTTTATATTGTCCTTTATCTTCTCATTGTTTAATGTATTACTCCCATTTCACTGACCTGCAAACTTTTCTGAAATGTAATGTCTTTGTATCATAGCGATCTTAAGATTACAAGCAGTTTTAGTATTCTTAGTTATTGACTGAGGAGCTGAAAAAAATCACTAATGACAAAATCAATTTTCTTTCTCCTCTCATCTAATGTCACAGAGCTATATATACAGAGTCAATGTGTGTATCTCACTTTTCAAATAAAGTCACTGTAAATCTTAGATTTACTTGCCTTGTCTTCTAAGTGCAATTCTAAAAAGCGTAGATAAGCCACAGGTGCAAATGCATCAGCTGAATGTACAACCACTTCTGAAGAATCCCTGAAATATAATTATAATGCATTTATTTACTATACAAATTATGGCAAGTTACTCCTGTTACTGACAGAAGAGACAAAAAATCCTCACTGTGTACTAATTTCCATTGATGTACAACATGCAGTGATTAACATGTATTTTTAATGATTCAATAATTGGGTAAAAGGATCAAGAATAGTAAACTTTTGAAAAAAATAATGAAGTTTTTCATCTTCATAAGAGCACATAGTTCAACATGTAGGTTCACTCAAAGCTCTTGGAACAATTTTAAGACTTAAACTCCTGTTCAATTTCATTTTCACAAATTTGCTTGGTAGGGACTAAACATTAGTGCTTTATCTTCATTATTCTTTTGATTTTCAAAAGGTAATTCATTCAGTGTTTCACACAAAATCTCAATTATCTTTCACAAAAGCATTACCCAGGATGGTTTAAGCTTCAGCTGAACTCTTCACACTGCAACATCATTGCTATTAAAATTGATCGCCTGACACAGTAATTACCACATTCAGGTAAAATGGTATGAACTGCTTGTTGGAACCATATAGATACATGTAAATTAACCCAACTTTATCAAAGATACCCTATAAAACACATATGAATAACAAATTATGTGTGAAGTTCTAATAGCTAATTATTTTTTATTATTGTTTATTGGGAGTGATAATACTTTGCATTTTAACTGAAAATTTAAATAGAAATTTCTCATAACTCTTTAATGCCTTAGGAAGTAGTTACATTGTTTGGATTAATATTGTTAGCATTTTGATCACTGTAGTATAGCAGAATAAATACTTACTTTGACCTTTTGTCACTAAGGCAAAATCATTTTTGAATCAACTTTTGTGATATAAAGTTATTTAGAGGCAATAGAAGAAACATCAGAATATGTGACGGCAAAATACTAAATTTCCATGAACAAAATATGTTTACATTCTATATGAAAGATTCAAGATAGATTTTAAAACTATGTTTGATGCCAGGCATGGTGGATTACACCTGTAATACCAGTGATTTGGGAGGGATCCTTGGCAGGAGAATTGCAAGCTGGAGGCCAGTCTCAGCACCTTAGCATGACCCTGTCTCAAAATTAAAAATTAAAAAGACTGGGGATGTAGCTTAGTGGTAAAGGATCCCTGGGTTTAATTCCCAGTACCCAAAACAAACAAACAAAAACAAAAGTATGTTTGATGATTTAAAAAAAAAGTGAGTTACATTCATGAACCTTTATATCAAATATGCATTTTGTTAATGATTAGGAAAAGCAACATTAAAAAGGACTTCTTTTATATATAACTATAATGCACCAATTAAGATATTAATAATAACAATAGAATGATCACTAAAGTAGAGCAAACAGATCAGGGGAAGGGAGTTGGGTGGGAAAGGGAAAGTACTGGGGAATGTGAGTAATCAGTTTTTACGTAATATGTACATATACAAATACGGCATAATAAATTCTATTACTATGTATACTTATAATCCACCAATTAGAAGGCAGAACTTGTTGGACATTAAAAGAAAAGCAAAGTATAACACAACAGAAATAGAATCATTCATGAGTCAAGATCCTGATGAAAAGATATGACTTACCTTCATAGGTTACATCAACTAAATGATGCTTCCAGGTATCATGAGGAGAAACAGAAAGATAAAGTACAGAGGAAGCCCTCTTGCTTGTTACCACCTGCCTCTCTGGATTAATCCCCACTTGCTTTGTTATTCCTAATTTGTTATTTCTTTATTTCTCAGAGTTGTCTACTCTAATTGTATCTTGGCTGAGCAATCAGATTCAACCATCAATTCCTGTTACAATGTCACTTAACAGATTAAACTTTAATCTGTTTCTGAACCTGGTCTTGAAAACTGATCCTGAGCTTTAATTATGCCTAATTTAGGCAGCTTGGTTTTGATATCCCTGATAATGGAGTGCACCAAAACTATAATTAATCTGAAGCAATACTATCTACTGAAAGGATCTATCTCAGTAGGAAGGTGCAGGCCCTCCCTTCTCATGTCAGTTATCACCAATAAAAAAACAAAGGAAGACAGCAAATAGCTTACTTAATTGATGCAATTATTGCATTTGGAATCAAGGTAATTATAAAGATAGAATATATAACATTCTCAGCATTAAATGAAAGAAAATGTGATTTTGGTGGATTCTATTAAATCAATAATCTCTAATTGACTAACATCATTTCATTCATTTATATAAAGCAAGACTCAACTGGGAGAGAATAGATCTGATATGAACAGTTTTTAGTTTTAGACAGAATATGTCACTATTGCTCTTCTTTTTCTATGAACTGAAGCCACTATTTTTTTTCAAGGATGCCTGGTCTTTGTTTTCATTGTACATTGCTCTGAGTCCTAAAAGCAGGATCTGTCAGTACATCTTTAAACTAACCCAGAAAATTAAGATCAATTGTGCCACAGCAAATATGCTTTCTAATTGGCTGCTGTCTTCCCCATTCCTTCTTAACACAAGTAATCAGTGCGTTACTACTTTTTCTATAAGTGAGGCATTTGAGGCATTTCCATTCCAAGTGCTTATCCACATCCCCCCCCCACACTTTTTTTTTATTTTCTATATTGAGCTCATGCCTACTTACAACTTTAAAATGGCAGCTAAGTCTGGGTTGAACCTCTTTCCTGAGGCCAGTCTCCTGATGTGTGAGAGAACCTCAAAAGAAACACTCACCTAAAAAGAACTTCTTACTTCAAAAGAAAATTCCTTGTATTCTTTTGAGACTCAGAAATGGTCTTTGTTCTTTCCTCTCCTCTAATAAAACAACTGTGATAGGTTGGGGCCAAGCCACTATATACCATTCCAATTCAAACATATGGTCTCTGTATTCACTAAAGTATACACAGATAGTCCTGTAGACTCACACCTACCCTCACAGACATCTAGATGTGATTTCTGTGAAGCCAATCCTTATACCCACAGTCAGTACTAGTTTTCTTCTTCATGTTCTTTAGTATTGTATTTATAGCCCTGTTATAACACATCTACTGTAATTGTGTGAGAGGTACTAGTTTTGTTCATCTTTGCCTATTCATGTGCCATCCCAATCTACCCCGGCTCAGTAGAGTACAATGGCTGGGATTAATTAGACATTAATAACTGTATAGTTAAACTTCGTCAAACACCTTTACATTTTCATATTAACTACTGAAATGATCAGAAATCCACACTAATTTTAATTACCTTCACATGAATACATACTTTTTCATACATATATAACACTGTCTCTTTCATGAGTAATACTTTAAAAAGTATGTGAAACAAAGCATGTAAACAAAATAATAATGGCAATTTAACAATATTTAATATGCATATTACATTTGATGTACATGTAAACATTCATGCACACATAGATATAAATAATGCCATATAGTATTCCTAGCATAACAAAAATAAAGGTTAATGGATCTAAAAATTTAAATATAAGAAAAAGAGTTAATACATTTAAATAAATTTCCAGGTAATACAAAATCAATATGAGAAGGCAACTAAGTTAAAAGTCTTTGCTTCCTCCTCATGGGGAAATGCCTCAGTATGGTGCTCTGTACTGAATATATCTTGAGTAGGTAGCAAATATGAGTAGTTTGAGAAAGTGGAAAATGAATGGATAGTTTAAATTTTTTTTCTTTTAATATTTGTTTAGTTATCAATAGATTTTTATTTTATTTATTTATATGTGGTGCTGAGAATTGAACCCAGGGCCTCACACATGCTAGGTAAGCGCTCTACTACTGAGCCACAACCCCAGACCGAATGGATAGTTTTTTAACCATGTGATTTAGTGCTTCCTTCCTTCATTCATTCTTGTTTTCCTTTACCCCATATGTAACAACTTTGTAGCAGTGGTATAGTAATACTGACTATCCAAAGGAAAATACTGACATTAAAAATATCAATACTGAGATTAAAAAGGATTATTCATCAACAGAGAAAATAAAGTGATTACTTTCTTTAATATACTTTAGGATTTAAGTTCTGATATATATATATATATAAAATAGTAATTTTTTAAGATTTGAGAACCTATAATTTCCCAGGAATTGTCCTTTTCTTTTAAAAGCTAGGCTGTAATTCTTTTCATCAGAGCTTCTAAGGAAAAAAAAAAAACTTATTTTCTGATCTAAAATTTGTATTTTAGAGGTTAGTGACTTTATATATTAATTAATATGAAAAGTGAATTATAAAAACGTGGAACCTTTTATAATTATGAAGGTTTATGAAACTGTCTTTCCTAGAAGATTTAAAAATGTTAAAGTTCTGGAATCATTTCAATCTCTAAATTATTTCACTATACAACAAGGATTCAATCTGTGTTTAAAATATTCCTAATTATAATCAAATAATTTGGCATGTGAAAGTTTATTTAATATAAAATATATAAAGTAGAATATTCCTATAATAATCAAACAATTTTGCATATGGAAGATGTGGTCTTTTTCTTTTTTAAAATAAAAAAAATTATTTGAATCAGACATTTGAAATATGAATCCTTATAAATAATTAGTTGTATGGTAACTAGGGCAGACCAGAATTTATTACATAAAACAAAAATTATTAAATTTTCCCCTAATGAATTTTGAATTATAAGAGCCATCATTATTAATGGTCCAATGTTGTTAGAAAGTTATCTTTTAATTGTATCATATGGAAAACTGTGTCTAAGTAAAATATCTTTCATTTATATATAATTTTAGAATGGATAATGCATGTTAACTTACATTTGATGCATATTAAGCAGGCATGATAAGGATAATTATATCTTAAAGGGGAGGAAAGATTTTGCACATAGTAAGAAAAATCCTTTTTCCACTGAACCAGGATAATCCTCAATATATAACCTCTAAATATAAAAGAGAATAATACATAAAAATATGTGAAACAAAGCATGTAAACAGAAATAATAATAAAATACAATTTAACAACACTTAATACTTATCAGTGCCTACTGTATGTTCTGAGAGTTCACATATAGAACAAGCACTGGAGGTGGTTGGCAGCACAAACCTTCAGAAAGGGAAAGCTCTATCAAAGTGGGCAGAAATAGGAAGGTGATTTAAAAGAAAGGAATCAAGTAAGAAAGAAATGAAGCTGAAGAGAGAGATAACCTATAAAGAAAAAAGAGGAAATAATATGCTTAAACATCAGAATTTGGTGATAAACTGACAAATGAATAAGAACAAAAAGGTAAGACTTCCTTTGTGTCTCAAGGCACATCTGTATGGTGGCACCTCTCACATATTGTTGATTTGTCTGTCCACCTCTCTTTCTACAGAAAGAACTCTTACAGAGCAGGGAAACAGTTTGCAGTTTCACTTAAAAAATTTCCCTTAATAAATGATTATTTGGCTGCAATGAATTGTTCTATTTGGCATTAGACAGTTCTAATATACTTTCTATGATACCTTTTCTTGAATAGCATGACAAGTTCCCCTCAAGACTTTGTCTCCATCAGGTTTAAGGGATGCAGATATCCACAAAATGGAGAGGTTGAAAAACATCCATTTTCTAGGTTTAAGTATTATGATAAGGTGCTGGGGTTGTGGCTCAGTGGTAAAGTGCTTGCACATGTGAGGTACTGGGTTTGATCCTCAGCACCACATAAAAATAAGTAAATAAAATAAAGGTTAAAAAAAAGAATGCTTAAAAAAAAGTACTATGATAAACAGATATTCTGGTTGTGAAGTAAAGCAATACATGTTTTATAATTATAGGACTTCAGTTTTTCAGGTAAATGGACAAAGTCTTATTCTTTGGATTTCTTCCTCTTAGTGTTCTCCCCTTGGAGAATTTTGCTAGTCTCATATTAGTAACTAAATGTATATCAAGTTTTCCATTTTACTATAAATTCACCCTAGCATGTGGATGTCTTTCTTAAATAATCAAACAGTGCTATTTCATGGAAGTAATATCTCATGCATGTTTCATTTGTGAATCATTGTATGATCACCACAGTCAGTAGGATGATCTGGACATAATAGACACCTGATAAATATTTGCTAAACAAGTCATTATTATGTTGATTATTAATAGGAAAGAAAACAGGAAAAACATGAAAGTATACATGAATTTTGTACATGAATTTTTGTGATAAAAACATTTTGCTATATTCTATTAAATAAATATTTTTTTTAGAAAATCTACCTCAAGCTGTCTTAATTTTCTTAACTTACTTCCTCTCTTATTAATATGTACAAAGAATTCAAATCTTATTGTTGAAAATACCAAAAACTGTCCATTCAGTCAAGCATAATTCAGATAGTCTTTTCTAAGAAGCATAAGAACTCAGGAAAAGGAGATAAAATGCTTTCTTAGCATATGATAAGAGTGACATAAATTAGAACATGGATAATAATGTAATAAACTGAAGAAAGCTCCTATTTTTCTGTATACTAATTTTAACAATTTATGGTAAATAAATCATACTACTTACCATAAATTGAACCTATTTAAAAACAAAGTTTACATGTAAAAATAAATACAAGTAACTGAAGAGAAATATTTAGTATGCTATTCTAACTTTTTAAAGCCAAAAATAAAAGGAAAAAGAGGATGGAGTTAATGGAACCCACAGGCTACTGATGTGGCAGTTTATCAAATGTTGCTGTAATGAAAGATAAATAATACAGGCAATTCACACTTCATGAAAGGATAAAAGTGTCAGTGTGTAGGTTCCAGTTTTACTGCAGGCCATAATCAGCAAGTAAACGAAAGTGCAATGTCTAAAAAGTTTATAGGCTTCTATGAAGGCCTCGTCTTGTCAGGTATTGATTTAAGTATTCAGACGACTTCACTGGTATTAAACAAATTGAGTGTTTGTGAACTTAGAGGACATGTTCTATTTCTCCCAACAAAAGTTGCCTCAAGCTTAATGTTAAGTTGCTTCTTCTATCACTTAAATTTAAGGAAAGGGCAAAAAACTTCTAAAATGATATCTTACACAATTATTTTCTTCTTAAATAGAGGGCAATCCAAAGTGAATGTTTCATATTCTCCACCTTCTCCACATACGTGGACTCCATATTTCTTAGAAAGCTGAAAATAGGAAGGGGGGGAAAGTAATAGAAAACTTAAAATTAGACAGCAAAAAAGCTCACTGAACTTGTATTATTTTGTACTAAAAAATCATGCAGGAAATTTTGATTGCAAAACAGACTGTAAGCTACAAGAAAATAATAAACTTTCTGCTTAAAATACATTTAAAATCACTTCAAACACTTTATCAAAAAGCAAAGAATTTTTAATAGTCTTGAAATCTTTATAAAATAGTAAGGGACCAGTATTTTTCTTTGTAGTGTCAAAACTTAAAGATAGTATAAATTTTAGGAGTGATACTAACTTTAGATTCAAAATGAGGCCAAGCTACTAAGTAGTAAATAATCTATACAGCCAAACTATGTTTTCTTTGTCTGTTGAACTTTAAGTATGAGGGGAAAATCTGCTGTTTTTGGAGAACTTCTCAGGAACACAGAGAAAAAAACCTAAGACCTTTCCTTAGGCCTGTGAACAAAAAAGAAGTTAAATCCCAGGGACATTGGAGGTTGAGACAGGAGGATGGTGAGTTCAAAGCCAGCCTCAGCAATGGTGAGGTGCTAAGCAACTCTTCGAGACCCTGTCTCTAAATAAAATACAAAATAGGGCTGGGGATATGGCTTAGTGGTTAAAAAAAAGAATGCTTTAAAAAAAAGTACGATGATAAACAGATATTCTGGTTGTGAAGTAAAGCAATACATGTTTTATAATTATAGGACTTCAATAGGAGTTCAATCCCTGGTACCAAAAGAAGAAAAAAAAAGTCACATGCTTCATGGTTATTATACTTGAGGCTATATAATAGTGTATTTGGAAAGTTCCAAAGCTATGAAAAAACAGTGAAGATCTAAAGCTGTAGGAAATCTTAAAAAGGTCTAAGTCCAAAAGAGATTGAGATAGCTTGTAAAGTTGTCTCCAACTTGAAATTAAAAGATAAGCAAAGAAGCAAAAAATCAATACAATTTATAATTTTCATTTAAACATAATCCATGTTACTGAACATGATACCCAGAATTTTTTTTAAAAATCTCCTATTTGGTTGGTTCATGGTTGGTATCAATGCTGGGGAACATTCTCACCAGCTGTCATTGTCTTGAATCTTTCAGCTCCTGTGGGAAGTCTTTATTATTATGATTCCCTCTCCTTTATTCTGAATGTCACAGTTTTCCCTGCTTATAGCTTCTCCTTGCCTAATGTTCTTATAGCCAAAAGAAGAGTGATTTGTTTTGATGTATTACTGCCAGTGCTGGAACTGTTGCCTAAGTCTTCAGCTTTATACCCATAGTTAAATATTTATTTATTCATAGTTACATACTTATTTATCTGGTTATTTTTGAAGATGTGATACTATTCTGAACTTATTAAAGTTCAACTATTGACTATATAGGCATAGTCTTTAGGGATTTAAAGCATGGGTCTAAGAGAATTCTACTTTTCTCATTAAGGATGAGTAGTTAGTTATATGAGGTATTAGAAAGGAAAAAAAAAAAAAAGGAAAACTGAAGAGGAGAAAACTGAATGATGTTTTCTATAAGAGCTCCCAAGAGCAAAGTAGATACATTTTTATCATGCTGGGTCATAAAGCAGTGACTTAGCAAGGCCAAATTGTGAGTTGGTTCTATGATTCCAAATAAGAGGAACAGATTACTTTATCATAGTAAATTGAATTAAATCTATATCTGCTTTGCAATAAAAATAAATAATAATGGATAAGAATTATAGGGGTGTTTCTCTGTTTTGTTAGCTAGCATCTACCCCTTCTGTTCATGGCCAATCTCTCATGCAAACTTTCCACTGAGTGAACCTTCTAATCTCACATTTATGACTTATTGCTAGCCTCTTTATGAGTCTACTTTATCATTATTAGTTTTCTTCTATTAGAAAATGCTTCATTGATTCTTTACATTATTTTTGTTATCCACAATCAAAGAATAACTGGATTTTTAAATTAAAGTTTGGGTAGCTATTGTGTCCTTAGTAGAAATTATGTAAGCTGTTATGTTAAACCAGCATTTACTCTATAAAAGGCTGATATATTCAAGATGGTATTCACTAAAATCTGGATGTACCCAGTGATATTTTCAGTTTATATAAAATATTTCTATTTAATTAATTCTTCAAAAAATACTTATTGAACAATGATTATTAGCTAGGCCTTGCTAGATGTTAAAGATCCAAGAATAAGCAAGACAACGGCACTTGAAGTTCACCAAATATATTTCAATACTACAAAATATGACATGACATGATGTTGCCTCGATAAATGAATATGTACAATTTCTTTTGCCTTTCTATCAATGATTCACCAGTAATGGACACACAGATTCCAAGTCAAGAAATCCAGATAAAGGGCATAGAGTTTTTAAGATTGAGAAACCAGTTAAGTGTTGTTAAGACATCCTTATGATGTCTTTTATAGCTCCTCTAACTCTACTAGCTTCAAGCCCTAATATACACAAGTACTGAGAGAAAAACTCACCTTTATTGGCTTACGTTTAGCCAGCTCGAGAGTGGTCATGAAAGAACCTCCCCAAGAAGCAAAGCCTATGCTAGCTATATTTTAAAGATTTGACTATTAAAAATCAAACCCTTGTATCACAAAAGTATGATTTATGCATGTGATGGAAAGTATCATTTTAGGTAAGTGAAGGACCCAGATACACATATTTCAGACACATTTAGGGTACAACCTTCAATTTACTTTTCTAAAACTTATAGGTCGATGTTACTAATATTTCATAGAAAACAACAACTTTATTTCTAAAACATCTCAGGTCTGTCCCTGGCTTCACCTTAAAATTGAAAATTAATGTATACTAGCACTCAAGCACTCCAAATGCAATTTTTGCAGTTCTCTTTGATAAGTTTTCCTATTAGCATAACTGCAATAAAAATACTAAAAATCTAGACTGTTTAGAACTTTAGCTTCTTCCTGAATTTTGAGATTCCATAATTTACATATATCTAATAGCAATCTATAATGAAAAATAAATATTTTCATGTTGTCTATTCTTTTAAGAACTAATATTTTTAATGATTAAAATATATTTATGTTTTTTACTTAGTACTGTATATGAAAAGTGGAAGTTGAAAGCTATTCTCATCATTACAAAAATGTCGGATGGGTTATAAAAGTGTGCTTTTATAACCCAGAGTGCTGAGAATGCAGTCATGTGGATGAACTAAATTACAGATTGGATAAGCCTTTCCTACATGAGTGAAATTCCATGTCTACTTTCTTAATTGGAGAACCAAGGGAAGAGATTCAAACCTCCCTAGATTAAAGGATTATATCAATGTATATAGAAAGCGGCCAAACTTTTATGATCAGTGGACTCCTGTGATAAACTTTTAGAGTCATGAGAAGATCCATGGAATCTGTTTAGTCTGCTAGTTATTTACCACAAATCCTAATTGAGTGCATATAGTGACTACATGCAGTATGCTGGGGCTTGGACAAAAAGGAGATGAGGAACACCTGCTCATCAAATCTTTTCTATTAAATTTCCACTTCACCAAAGATTGGGGGCAGGGTAGGAAGACTGAGAAATTTCCTCTAGGGCTTGGAGGGGCTGAGAGTAGAAGCAGAACTCTCTGTAAAGTGGGCTGGGGGTTGGGTTCCCTAGACTCATTGAAGCTGAATTCCAAGCCCAGATGAAAAGAGAGTCCTAATCAAAGTAACTTCAAGAAGTGCATATTCAAATGAAATGCAACTAAGAACAGTCCCAGTTCAACTGGAGATGAGACTGAAGAGAATAAACATCCCAGACTAGCTGTCAGATGGAGAAAGGAATATGCCTTTTTCTAGGGTAAGGATTATTTACCTCAGTCTCTATCATTCTTTTTTATTCAATATATGACGGGAAATATAAAAGAGATGTTAAAACATGCAAAATGTGACCTATAATCAAAAGAAAAACCCAAAACAAAAGGAAATAGAAACAGACCTACAAAATAACCAAATGTTGAACTCAGTAGATAAGGACAAAACAATTATGTTGTAGTGCGCTTAATGGTAGAGGTAGACAAAATTCATTAAAGATGGTGATTGCAAAGAGATGAAAAATTGGAGGTAGATTCATCTAGTTCATATAATGGCTGAAATACGTCTTGGGCAGGGGATCTGGGATAAGTTGCTTAACTTCTCTCAATTTCAGTTTTCTTAGGTAATAGCTTTTGGGGACGTTGTGAAGTTAAATAAGATATTATATACAAATCTCATAACAATACCTGGCATGCAGAAAGCACTCAATATATGTTATCTTCTGCCCATTAGATTATTTTGCCCTTCTCTTGGGTCTTTGGCTCTTTTATTTATTACCAATACTATTATCTATTACTTTTAGGCAAATGATTCTTAAAACTCCAAGCAAACAATCTCTCTCCAATATATTAAATCCCCCAAAATGTTTATCAAATGTTTTATTTGAAAGCATTAAATAAATAAAACAAAGTTCTTGGTATTTCCTCAAAACTTTATTTCTCTGTTCAAGTTCCCTGTTTGTAATAGTTAAATCAAGCTTAAAATATTAGAGAACTTTGTCCTTTCTTTCTGTATATAGCCTACATATAAAAATTATTAATTCATTTATTGAATCAACAAATATTTTCTCAGTACTTAATAAGTGCCAAATCTATTTGTACATTAAAGATATGGCAGTGAACAAGACAAAGTGCAAAATTTCTTTCATCCTAACACCCTGATGGCCACCCTGCATTTCAACCATTACAAAGATCTCATCTTCCTACTTTGTTTTCACCTCTCCCAAACTCTTTACATACTATCAACACAATAATTTTCCTTAACACTATATTATTGCAGTACTCATCTGCTTACTTTTGGTGGCTGACGATTGCCTATTCAGGTAAAAATCAAGATCCTTAAAACAGGTAATCAAATACTTCAGCCAATTCAAAAAAAAAAAAAAAAAACTTTAGTTGGCTTCAACAAACCCCAAAGACTAAATCTTATTAAATATAAAGTGATAAAAATAAATTCCAAG